TGGACCGCGAACCATCAAGCTGGTGTCGATGGTATTTGGCGGTTTGACGAGTTGTACGATGGTGAAATTCACCAGCAGGAATCATATACCCCATGATATATTCGATAGAAAATGCAAAGGTACGCAACATTCCTTTGGAAGGTCAAAGATATTATTATTATTATTATCTGATGAGGCAGATGAGTAATATATATATACAATATCATGACCATGTGAAAAATAACCTAAGGTTAATTGATATTTTTAAGCAGTAAACGAAGTAAGCAAGTCACCTGCTATTTAATCAGCTTTTATAATTTCCAGCAAGCTGTCAATATACAAAGGAAACCGGGCACAGAGATTCTTTAACACCATCGGTTCCATTTCACTTCATGGTGCAACACTGTCACAGACATTTTGTCACCACCCAAGTAAGTATACAACGAGTTAGCTATCTTTGGCTTCCCGGTTAGAGTAAAGGACCTGTGAGCATGCTGTAATTTACGTACTTATTAAGATATACCAAAAGATAAAGTAAAAAAATAGGTGTACGCAACAGTATTACGTGGAAACGACAAAAATCCACAGCATTATCTATTAGAGATAAAGAAAATGCGATGGGATTTCATTAATTTTTTTATATCATTAATGACAATTTTGGCCCAAAAGACGAGTAACCTATGTTAAAAAGTTAATTTGACTCTTTATGTTATTTCAGTCGTGTTTCTTAAGTATCCTGTCTTTATAATAGTTAATTCTTGTATGTGTCAAATACCTATAACAGTTATTGTTAAACAACTATTATAGGTACTTGACAGTATGTACTGTGTCCACGAACACTAAAGAGTTCGAACCTTCGAGATTTAAAACCGAAGTTAAACGCGAGAAAATCATGTAGTAATTCGGTAACAGAATTGCAACGATTTTTACGTCACGTACTTAGCTATAAAAAAATCGTTCAGACGTGTATATTACTATCTAGTTCTAAGTCAGCCATGAGCATTCATTTTATTCCTGTATTTTTTCAATGTCATAGTTTTTTGTGATGTCGTCTTTATTCACAAAAGAAGTTTGTTTTGAATTATTACTGGCGATCGTGTAGAACAATGTTTAACGCAGCTCACAATATAATGGATAATAAATATCGGATCCGCGTAAATGCACGTTGCTCCCGTGGAAGGAATCAGGATTAGAGTAAACTGTTCGCTGGAAGCGGACCAACTCTCGTAAGTTCTAGGAATTCCTACTATAACTATGTTTCGTTGCGTTGTTACTTTGTACTTGTATTTCTTTGATCAATCGGTCGTACTTTAGTTCTTGAAAGATCAGTTCCTTTACCGAAGATACGTCGTCTAACTTTCAGTATCTTTGCAGAATAGCAATGCCCGGTGAACCAAGCTCTCAGACCTCATCTAAATAGTACTAGTTGAAGCATTTATTAAAGAATCACGTTTAAGCCGAAGTTCTTTTAATATTAATCCGCCGATCAGATTCCGCAATAACTTTTAGTTCAAGTTTTCATTCTTAATTCTGTAAGTTTAGACTTTTGATCCAAGATACTACAAACTACCGGACAAGACACATTACATATTTCATCAGAAGATGAAACAAGTTAAGTAACGGCCTATATTCTGTCCCACTACCGGGCAAAGGCTTTCTCTTTACGGTGGGTATTAGGGCATAGTCCAACACGTTATCCCACTACGGATTAGAAATGTATGGAATGGATGTAAAATATTTCGAAAATATGCAGGTTCCTCACGATATTTTCCTTCACCGATGATGCTAATTCAGCACTTAATTAGTATTTAGCACTTAGTATCGAATTGTTAATTCATCCAAACTCTAAGGTTAGGCCTTAGTGTTTGGATGAATTAACATGATGAAATAACATAATGCCACCATACTGGACCAACATTTCAAAACCCGATGCCGGCATCTTGATTTGAACTCACGTTACTAGAGTATATCGAGTTAAAAGCGAACGCCCGGACTAAGCTATCACGGCTCAATGGGTCCAAAAACATCCTCCGCCATTAATAAATACATCCAAAGTAAAAACCAGAAAAAATAAACCTTGTTATTAGGCTTTTTCAGCTAAATGAGACAGAGTAGCTGCTCTTAAAATTCTGCGCAACAGTCGTATGGCAGAGTGCCAAGTTAGATATCAGACGTTCGCAGCATACTTGCTCTTTAAGTATTTACGTTTATTTATACATGGTATTTTAACTGCGTTTATTCAGTTAAAGAAATCTAAAAGGCTCTATAGCTTTTAAAAACCAGTCAAAATTAACAGATGACTTTTGACTACTTAGAAGACTACTTTAAAGATTTAATTTGCTTTACCACTTACCAAATAACCTAATTTTATTAAAAATATTTTAATCAATATATTATATATATACTAGCTGCTGCCCGCGACTACGTCTGCGTAGAGGGGTGAAAATTGAGGATTGTATGTATTTTTGTATGTTGTATCATAAAAAAATAGAAATTAAAAATTTTGTCTAAAAAATAAAAAATAAATTTAGGGGTGGACTACCCCTAACATTTAGGGGGATGAAAAATAGATGTTGGCCGATTCTCATAGATACCGGATAAGCACAAAAAATTTCACCAAAATTGGTCAAGCCGTTTCGGAGGAGTATGGCAACGAAAACTGCGAAACGAGAATTTTATATATTAGATATATATAAGAGATCTCTGTAGCCATAGGGCGTAGAGACTTGAAATTTGGTAGGAATATTGCTTTCGCCGAGTAGTGGTCGGCTAAGAACGGATTTTACGAAATGTTACCTGTTGGGTCCGCTAGTCCTTTATATTGAAATATATATTGCATTGAAATATATATTGCAATGTTACCTTCTTTTCAATACTAAACTTTTAGCTATATATTTTTTTATAAAAATTGTTCCTAAACATAATTTTAACTTTTTAGCATTTCGTGTTTTTTTTTTTCTAACTATATATGTATTTATAAAATAACATTAACTCATGTACAACAAAATATTAAGTTGAAGTGGCACAAGGAGTGACAGACTTGATAATAGGTTACGGCTTTAACGGACACATATTTTCTCATTTGATATTTCTAACACCTACAATGTTCACTGGTGAAAAAAACTCAAATATTAAGAATTAATAGGAGCAAAATGTTTGAATATTAAGGTAATCGAAATTAAAATGACGTGATACAAAATAACACATATTAAATAGCAATTATTGCTAATTAATTACAAATTAGCTTTAGGTATCTGTTTCGGCTCAATAAGTGTTTAATTATGGAAACAAAATGCCTTTAATCACTAGATCTGTTTCTTTTCTGTTCTGTTACTTGTGAATATTTATCATTAATCTGTTAATTACTAACAGATTAATGATAAATATTCACAAGAATTAATCTTCACAATGATCTGTTTATAACCTATGGCTGTTCCAGGACTTCCGCCTCGTTGTTTTAACGTAGTAACAAATAATTTTAATTGAAAGTATTTCAACGTAGTAACTATTATTATTATGTGTATTCCCTTCACTTAATAAATCGAAGAGAATCTTCATAAATATAACAACCCTGGATCATGAGAGGCAACGTGGGGGAGGGGGAATTCGTCGAGACATTCATGCCAGCCTGTTTCTGTATGAGTGGCTCCGCGACAGTACCACAGCCTTTTTTTATGTGAAGCCTCACAGAAGACCGACGTTTTTAGGGTTCCGTGCCAAAAGCGTATAACGGGACCCCATTACTAAGACTCCGCTATCTGTCTGTCACCAGGCTGTATGTATCAAATTAACCGTAATAGTTAGGCAGATGAAATTTTCACAGATGATATATTTCTGTTACAAATACAAAAAGCAAAATAAAAAAATATTTAAGTACACATACAATAGACATTATTTTTTGTCGTTTTTATGGATAACGGTACGGAACCATTCGTGCGCGAGTGCGACTCGCGCTTGGCCGGTTTTTTTATACCTTTTGTAGTTCACCTGGTGAAAGAGAATCAACCTATTAAAAGCTGAAAATGCACCTGCAACCCTCACAAGATTTGTGACGATGAGGAGCGGCTATAATCACATCTATTGACCCATTGTGTTAACACCATGGCATAGTCCAACCTTAAATACTTAGAGTAACAAATATATCTTACTATACGTACTAATAGAGCCGTGATAGCTCAGTGTCCGGGCGCTCGCCTTTAATTGAATATACTCGAGCAACCTGGGTTCGATCCCCGGTGCCGACACAAATGAAATTGTTAATTTTAAGTGTCGAATTATCACGTGCTCAGCCGTGAAGGAAAACATCGTGAGGAAACCTGCATATTTTCGAAGTAATAACAAAAAATATATTTCGAAGATATGTGACGTCCCCCAATCCACAGTGGGGCCGCGTGGTGGACTATGCCCTGATACCCTCTGTACAGAGGAGGTCTTTGCCCAGCAGTGGGACATGTATAGGCTGATACTTTTATACGTACTAATGTACAGTCCGGTTGAAATAGTTAACGCAAAATCTTGATAAAACATAATTATTTAGTTTCCATTATCCATATCAGTAATTAGCAATGTTTGTTCCTAGAAATTGCTATTAACTAATCATATTCATAATTTTTATGATATATTTTGCGATGTAAGGTTACAGTTGCAAAAATAGATAAATATTATTCCATAACGCAAGTGTAAAAAGGTAAATTGCGTAATATTATAGCAATAACGCTCGAACGAACATTTCTTTCCCATTATTTATCACACACCATCGTTTCCAAAACGCTTAATTCTTAACTTAAACAAAACACCAACCGGACGCTACGGTGAATCAATTCGTGATTTCGATCATAGACGAAGCATTCTTCGACTGCTACATTGTCGAATCAAAGAATGACCTCATTGATATCGTATCGATAGATAAGAGCCTTGTCGATAACAACAGTTGAAGACGCGAAGGCGCAGCACTAATCGGGCATAACGCCAGTGCGCACTGTGCAGGCCGCACGTCGACTCCGCTCGTTTGTGTGTGCGCGATGGGTTACAAGGCGAATGTATTGCTTGCGTTGGTGTGCGTGTGCGCGGGTGCGCGCGCGCAGGAAAACCTCTCAGTGAACACGACCCAAGGATGGATAGAGGGCGCTGTGGTGCCGGACGGCAACTACATCGCTTTCTACGGGGTACATTACGCGGGTTCCGTGTCCGGGCCGAACAGGTTTAAGGTAAACGATATTTAGTTTTACTTAACACTTTTTCACAGGCGTTTTTAAGGAGTGTTTTAGGCACGTGTTTTTATGACTCATCGGTAGAGATCGGTGCGTTGGTGTTAAGATAGCGTGTCCGTCGACAGATTACATGGGCGCGCGTTAAGCAGCGCACGGCTTGTGATTTAACAGATATAACCCTGCTATTTTTAAATGTACACAACGCTCACGTGCATACGTAACGTGAACCGTTATGAGTCGCATAATCGAAGCATTCAATAAAGGAGCTGTTTGAGAGCGGTTTCATAAACAACTGCCTAACCCTTCGACAATTACATAACCTTAAAGCGTTTTTACTTTTACAAGTTATCGTAAATATTACAAGTTACTAAAGAATGACCGGTAATAGCTGTCTCGTCTTCGTGATACACCAACAATTTAGTCTACTTTCCTTTGATATCTTATCAAATTAGTTTAACAATTTAAATACAATGGTTATTTTCGACACTGTATAGTCTTTAAGGAAAAATTTCGTGAACCCTCGTTGGGACCAGACACTCTGATCCGGATTAATCGAACGTGCATCGAACCCACAACCCCCTACACCGAAAATAACAGCAACTGTGGTAAAGCAAAGCAAAAATCACACTTTGAAGTCGAATAAACGAATAGACTAGAAATAAATCTCAACTTTACGCAAAATCTACATAGACAAAATAATATTTTATGTAGATAACGGCTTGTGGACGAAAATTTTAGTCCGCAATCGTAACTTTTAAAGGAAATGCGGTGCACACGAAATATGACTCTAAAACATAATTCGTTGGAAGGTCAGCAATTCGCCCACGGCGCATTAAAATTTTTGCATGCTTGATAATTATTATAAACACAAAAACAACCTTAACGGAACTCACCGCTTTGTGTAAGAACGAAAAAATTGTCTCATAAGCAAATACATATTTTAATGATAGGATATAAAAAACCGGCGACAAGTCGACCTGTTAATTTTAAAAAGTGAAAAAATAACTACTACTTTTTAGAAAAGATTATTACCCTCGCCAAAACAACGAAGTCCTTAGTAAAGGTAATAGTATATATAGAATTAGGAGGAAACTAGATTGCGAATAATAAAATAATTATATAAAATACCAATAATTCAGGACACATTTAAACATTTGAATATATTAGAGAATGGAGTAAATAAGCATATACAATGTCATTTCTCTTTCCAATAATGCATAAAATATGTCCAAACCATAAAATAAGCGCTCAAGTAATATCCGACCAAATTGGATAAAATTGAATGTCGTACATGACTACTGACTATAAAATGTCCACTGTTCAATTGTCAAAACCATAACCAGAAATAAGCGCTAGAAAAAGTCATTAATAATAACGGCAAAGACCAAATTGGATAAAATACTAAAATATTCAGTCTGCTGCTAACAATGACTACTGACTATATAAATGTACTTTAGAGTAAACTTTACAATTAACATTACCTTCAACAAAACACATAAACACTATGACAGACGAGTGTATTTAATTTGACAATTAGAAAAATATCATCATTAAATAATGCTATTGAAAAAAAAAATTAACACAATACTTCAATTTCTCTCCTCCATATTACAGCACATATAACCGCTGAGTGAAAACAAGTCCCATTATTGAAGACAACGATTTGACCCGTCTAGTGCTAATCAGTTTACACTTATTTCTTTTTACGTCCTATTTGTATCCATTGCTCTATTTCTCGTCGGCACGGTGTTCGGAGTGAGTTCGATGAGACGCGTACCACGGCACCACCGCATTTAAACTTTCCCTGCCAGTTTTCAGGAACATGTTCCCCGGTCAATCTCAGCCAGCATAAATTTACTTTACAGGAAACTTTTAAGAGCCCTAAATCGAACGGACAAAGTTGTCTCACTCAATTAATCTACTGTCATTTCCAGGCAGCGCCACCCCCGCCTACCTACCCCGGAGTGTTCCACGCGATTGACAGCACCGTCATCTGCGCTCAACCGACGTCACGTGGTCTCGTCGGTGTAGAAGACTGTCTGACTCTTAACATCTTCACGTCGAACCTAACCGCATCGCAGCCGGTACTCGTTTGGCTAGAGGGTCAAGAATACACCAACACAGATACTACTTTGCGCTCCTTCAAACACTTTATCGATGAGAATATCGTGGTCGTGTCCGTTAACTACCGACTGTCTATATTTGGATTCCTATGTCTTGGCGTACAACAGGCGCCGGGTAATGCCGGTTTGAAGGACGTCGTTCAAGCATTACAGTGGATCAGACAGAATATAGCCGGTTTTGGTGGAAATCCGAACAACGTGGTACTGTTTGGGCACGGCTCAGCAGCTGCTATGGTGGACCTAATAACAATGTCACCCTCGTCGGAAACCCTCGTGCATAAGGCTATCGTTCAAAGCGGCTCGGCCCTATCACCCGGAGCCATTGCATACAATCCGATAAGTTACGCCGAAGCGTTAGGCACGAAACTCGGTTACACCGATAAAACCCCGGAACAATTGGCCGAATTACTAACCACCACGGACCTGAACGTGTTAGTAAGTGCACTGGGCGAGTTCGAATTCCTTAACAACACAGCTCTGTTCGCACCTTGCATCGAAAACGGCGTTGACGTGAACAACACCTTTCTGTCCGACGCCCCAATAAACATTCTGCGCTCCGGTAACTACAGTCACATCCCTTACCTCGCCGGATACACTAACAGAGAAGGTACGGTCCGAGCCCAGCAAGCGGCTTACAACCAGTGGCTGGAAAAAATGCAAGCGAATTTCGATGATTTCATCCAAGTTGATTTGGACATTGCTTCGAATCCAAACAGGACTGCTATCGTAAGCTCGATCCGAGAGTATTATTTCGCACAAAGGAATATCGATATGGAGACAATCGAGGATTATTTGGATTATCATGGTGACACAATGATCCTCGTCTCTGTCATCAGAGGCGCGTGGGAGAGAGCGCTCACGTCAAGAGCTGAGGTCAGACTTTTCGAGTTCACCTATAGAGGTACATACAACTCCGACTGGGCGTTACCCCAAATACCACTGACCGGCGTAAGGCACGGCGGTGTTTTAAACTACCTGTTAAACTACGATTTGACACCGAGCGATGTGGTAGTTTTGCAGTGGATAGTGAGGCGCTATTCTGCTTTCATACAAACTGGGTAAGTACATTTACTAGTCAAGATTTACCAGATTTTATATAACCTCAAAATTCATCATTTTTGCTTTAACTGAAGTCTGAAAATAAATTAAGACTTCAGCATGACCTCTTCACAAAATTGATATCCTATCATCCACAAGGACCGATCATGTAAAAACTTAATAAAAAAAGTTTCTTAGTTGAAATCAAAATTCCAATCAATATTTTTTTATTTAAGGGGGATACGGATGGCGTATTCACACCCAAGTTATCATCAAGCGCAGGAAACCAAAAACCTAACACAAAAAAATAATGAATATAGGATCTTTTCCTATCCTCATTATTTATTAATGAACTGACCAACTATAGAGTTTGTTAATCCTTTAAAATAACGAGTTAAATTTGACACTTACAGATCACCGAGTTATCCTAATGCTGTTGACTGGCAGCCGATTACGGCGTCTGGCTTCAACTACATCCTGTACAGCGGTGGCGAGGTGTCGCCGAATATATCGGTCGCTTACGAGAACCCCAGAACTAATCCACACCAGCAGAGGATGACGTTTTGGAATGACAAATACGCCGGTTTATACAGGGCTCCTGAGCCGGTGTCATCTGCACACCAGCTGTTAAGTTTTGTTTCTGCAATAGTTCTGTGTCAAGCTTTGTTAAATTTCCTGTAATTTTATTTGCATGTGTAGTTCATATATAGTGTGTAGTTAATAGTATTCTTAGTTTTTTATTTTAGTATTAACATTACCAGTAATTATTTTGTGGCAATGTCTTATTTGTTTGTGTTATGTCACCGCAGTATTAAAGTGTTGTGTGAAAATCTTAACAAAATGTTGTGTATAACAAACGTTTGTGACTGCATTTTTTCGTGTACTTTAAATATAGAAATGTAAATATAAGAAAATGTATCTTTATTTGGTGTTTAATGTAAGTTTTTGTTAGTTGTTATTGCAGCTAATTACTACAGACATAGGATTTCTTTGCTCTGAAAAATTTTAAAATGTCTCAAATAACATGATTATATAACATGATTATGCTATGATTTGAATAAATTCCATATTATTTTGAGTCCATAAAATATTACTCGGAGAGCAGGTGATAGCTTATTGCACTTTATTTCATTGAGACTAAATGTAGCTGCAGAGTACTATTGGTAAAATAACCAAGGATGACCTCTAGCCGTATGAAGTGGCCTAGAAGTTTGATAGACAGTAGATACAGGTTCCTAATGGTGGTCGTCATAAACTTCACGGTGATCTTTGGAAGACACCCACATTAAAAAAAACTATTAACTATAACCATATCTATGAAATAGAAGCGAAACCACTTTTATTTAAGTGAAAACCTTGATAGGAACACGTAAAACCTTAACTTAATTCCACTTTTAGAACTGCTGCCACATAACGAACATAAACTTTATAGTTCCACGGTTAAACTTTAACGCATTCAGACAAAACTTTAGATATACGACTAAACTTGCCAGTTTGAGCGGGTACTAAATGAAAGATATGTTCTACGCTCTAGGTCGAAATCGAGATTCTCCTGGTCGTTTCGCCCAGGGGAAGACTTTAGTCATTACCTTCATGGCCATTTCAACCAAGTTAATTCACCTTGTTTAGTCATTCACTTCATTATCTTTATATACATATAGTCTTTAATACAACCGACCGGCGAGCCTATGGCAATATACACTTCATTCTAACTGTGCAATCTAATCTAATCTTGGTGAATATTTCCCAATGTTTCCATTCGAATAGATTGGATGATATTTTATCAGAACAAATATTTGTTTTTACGATTTGCATCACCGGCAATAATTAAAAAAACAGTGTGTATTGTTAATAAAAGTAAAAAAAAAAAAAAAACACTTTCGGAAGATATATTTCAATGGACTTTCGGAAGACAGCATAGCCTAACAAACCGTCTACACTTGTATACTCGTTTTTTAATTTGCGACATTCTCTTATATAAGCAACAGAAGTTATTTAAGGAAACTCCCTAAAGACCTCACAAATAGAAAATGTAACTTTACCGTTGCATAGAAAAGGTCTCCTCAGATACTGTAATATATCATTTGTTCTACACTAAATTCTCGAATTCACATTTAACGAATTGTAAACTTTAGCTTCCACGAAATAAGGCTTATTTTCGAAAGAAAGAACCTAATGGACAGTGCCCCAAGGGTGTAGCAGGTACGTCGGTACTGGTCGAAAAGAGAATCGTATTTTGCAATGAAAATATAGCTATTTATGTTTTTATTCGTGTAATAAAAGGCGGGCGAGATGGCGTTTTATTGTACTTGATAGAAAAATATGGAATTTCAGTTTGATACAAGATTATTTTCTTCAAAGTGTAAATGTTACCATGCTCTTAAGAGTTACATTTTTGAGAGAAATCAAATAGGAAAAGACTTTCCTAATAGTGTTGTATCTAGAACGTCGGGTTGTCGACTTAAGATGGCTGGATCGATTTTTAATGAGTTTTAGTTCTTCGGTTTCTATTCGGAGATAATGTTCAAATTAGTCAAGATATCTTTATTTTTAGTTACTGAATTTATTTAAAGATGGAAACGCATTTGCAACCCTGTAGGTGTTGCAAATGTCCATGGACGGCGGTTATTATTTAAGAACAGGTGGACCACCAGCTTGTTTGCTTGAATTAGGGATGTCTTGCGATTTTACATCAAACTGCTACAGATTTCCCGAATGCGCTGTCCTATTTCCCATTATTTACCTAATTTCTCAATAAGGCCAATAGTAACATATTATAATATTTTGATGCTATGTAGATGCATACTGCGTTGCATATGCTTAACTACAGTTAATGTAATACTTATAAATTACCAACTTTAATTCTAAATGCTTCTGAAGGATTGTGGTAGTTCCAACGTCGCGACGAACCATGCTATAGCAGAAGCTGCCGCGTGTTTCTATTTACTTCATTTATGTACGGTCGCGCACAGTAAAAATTTAAACCACCCTCATAGAACGTAAACTTCCACCCAACCATGATATAATCATGCTATGTCGCGAGCTAAAGAAATGAATGAATGAATCAATACTTTTTATTATCCACCACAAATGAAAGGATAAACGAAATTACAGTGGAAAACAAATAGTTTGTTCATAATTATAGCCTTATCGATACAAAAGATGGATTCTAAATAATGCACGTAGCCGACACTTTGACGTAGATATAAACTATTAAGTAATTACAATCACGAGATAAGCATACTGAACAGAGAAAAATTTTATTTTCCAAATGTATCAGTCATACATTGTGCAAAAGGATAATAAATACAAGATAACTAATGAGACATCCTCGTTTTAAAAATTTTCTCAGGTGAAGTCTTTAATACTTCAAAGGGAAGAAAGAAAAATAACCACATTAAATATAGTAATACATTTAAGGTTTGTAACAAATATTCCAATATCTATAAAAAAAAAATATGTATAATACTTTCGCGTTTTGTCTGGTGAGTGAGGTGGCCTGAGCCCAATTTTCAAAAGGTTGTCAACGCATCTGGAACCCTCGGGTGTAGCAGATGTCCATGGGTATTCACTTAACATCAGGTGAACCATCGGCTCACTTGGCAACTTTTCACATAAAAAAAATCTGCATATAAAAGAAATGTCTGCGACAGTTGCGTTCAACTTTTCGAGTGTGAAGATAACTTTGACCTTGCCCCGTTTGGCTAAGTCTACTGCGTGTATAATTAGCTCCAACGTAACCGGCGTTTGTATTTGGACAATACCGTTCACGTTCATGCGACATCTCAGTTTAATTATGAATAGAGGTATCTTTGCTAACGCTCAGAGTAAAGTAAAGTTGTTACTATGCTTATCGACATATGCTGAGCAATTGCCTTTGTACAGAGGTATTAAGGCGTAGTAGACCACGCGGCCCCACCGCCGATTGGCAGACATATTTCCGCATTTTTTGTAATTATTTTTTAAAAATGCTGGTTTCCTCAGAATGTTTCCTTCATCGTCGGGCGCGTGATAAGTCAGCTCTAAAAATTGCAATTAACAATGTCTTTGGCGCCAGCACCGGCATTTGAGTGCAGAATGCTCGCTTATATTGAGTTAATTCCAAACACTCGTGCACTGAGCCAATGCGGAAAACACGATTTAATTTAGTATAAATTTTAAACTTCCACTACCAATTTTTTAAGAATTTCAAAACACAGTGGAAGCACTGACCTTCGATGATGCCTTTAATAAGGTGTGAAGTAGTCTGCACCAGTTTGGATTGCTGATAGTAATTAAATAGAATCCAGATCTAAGCACACTACCATTGCAATACCAGAACATGCACTGTGCATAGACCGGCCTAAAATTTATAGTTTTTCAGTTAAACTAACTGAACATAACTAATAACTACACTAAAAACTAATAACTTTAAAAAAAGGGTAAAGTAATGGGCAAATGCTTCCTCTGGACAGAAGGTCCATCCATCCATCCATATTTTTTTAGTATTTCGAAAATATGCAGGTTTCCCCACGGTTTTCCATCACCGCTGAGCACGTGATAAGACAGTACTTTTGACCGTTGCAATTATTTTACACTTTGATATTTTACACTTGTTTATTCAACTCCAAACGTTTCAGAAAGACTCCCAAGTGGTATTTTTGGTTAACAGTTACAATAAAGATTTTCATTAACATGAAATTTTAGATTAATGAAACGTTGAATTAATAACTAGACATTTTCGGGTTACTGATATCGTGATGTTAATATTTTATACGCAATTTCTGCATCACATCCCGTGGGAGATCCCGTCAGGATGTACAGACTACTACAATATACAAGAAACATTGAAGGGAAGGAATTTAGAGATGTAACGTCTTAGACATTCAATGGGATTTACTTAGATAAGAACTGAAATCTGGCGTGGTTAGAACGTTATCTGTTTGGATATATATCAGGAAAATAGACTCGATCAGGAAGATAGTTGACGGCATCAATGAAAGTATCATTAGAAAACCTGCATATTATCGAAATAAAAATATAAGAATTAGGTGTCTCTCATCACCGTTTTGGAACTCCTTGGATACTGATTATTTAGAATAGGATTTTCAACATTACTTTAATCAATTAAATGTATCTGAGCATAAAGATAACGTGAGTTCAGGACTTTTCCCCCCAAAAGTGTCCGATGAACTTTTCACACAGAAAAAATAATGTTTTACCTGCATATTTTAATATTGTATTTCTTTTGGGGCGAGGGAAAAATATAACGTTCAGACTCACTGCTATATTTATCGCTTCTTTTATCTGTGCTCTCTAATTTCTTTTAAGACTCCCAGCATGTTTATTTTATTCAGACAGTGCCGTAAAGAAATAGTCCGCATTGCAGACTCTTCTCAGTACAAATCTCACATAATATTAATCAGTTTAGTTCAAGCGATCCACCTAAAAATTTTATACACTTCTTATATTATACGTATATAGACACCAAGATACTAGAAAAACACTATGTTCATCACACAATTTTTTACACATATTAGTGGGGATTGAACCCACACCCTCTAGCGCAGGAGGCAGGTACACTATCCACTACGCCATTCAGAACTTCGAATTGTAACAAAAAATCAAATCAAATATTAATTAAATATGAAATTAATTGATACCTCCCTATGGTATTGCCAGAACTTTAGAGGGTTATA